ATAGATATATATCTAGATATAGATATATATCTATATCTAGATATATCACATATTTGTTTTATTCTTTTAAACAAATATCATTAGATGTAGTGCAAAAATCAAGCCATGCCAACTATCTGAGAAAAGTATTTTGGATTCTGTTCAACCAAATTTTGTGATCGAGGCATCATAACCAAGGATGGTGATCTCACATTCTTCCCCCTGCAGTTAAGCAATAGTGCTTGGTTATTATCCCACATTTAGCTTGCTGACTAGGCAATGAAGAATCATTGGCATGCTCACTCTATTCACTCTTCTCTCAGCAGCTTCTTTGTGTTACATTGACAGCCCTATGCAGTACATTATAGGCTAACTGGCTGACAATGATGCTCGTCCCTCTGTTATGAGACCATAGCGTTTTTGTACACACTGTAAAATTGAGGCGTTAATTGCGGGATGCTACAGCTTTCTAGGGTAGAAGCCCAAATGTCTGCTGTTTCTCACAGAACATAAATGGGGGATATTGATTTGTTTAAAGAATGTTAGTAGACAAACTGGCAACCTTGTTATCTTTAACTGTAACAAAGGAAAAATTATAAAAGAATCTACAGTCCTTGCCTTGTCAAAGGTGAATGACTTGCCACTACCTTTGTTTGAATGCGGTTTATGTAATATGCTTGGCAAAAGAACATTTCTTTATGCGAACAGAACCAATATTTTTGTTATGTATCATTACAGCGAGCTGCGAAGCCCTCCCATGAACTGGTTCAGAGCCTGATTTCTATGAATGTCACTATTGATTCCAAGATGTCAACCAGCAAAGTGTCCTTATTCACAGACTCCAAGCCACTGGGCATTGAGGATGTTGAAAAAAAGAAGTAAGTTGCTTATATCATTTTGTACATTTGAACATATGTAAATATAATTTTATACACAATAGATTTAATTACAAAGATTTAACACAAAGATTAGTCTTGTGACCGTAATTTTTTAAATCTCATTTAACTAGTATGTTTTTGTTATTTGTATATTGTGCTGTCATTGTAAACGAATCTTATCCATGCCCCCTCTCCCCTTGTCCATTCAGAGAAAGCCTTGTGTTCTGTGAATTGAATACAAGACATTTTCTGAATGGACAAGAATGGGAATGTATTCAATGCTATCCTTCTCTGTACAAGCACTGAGAACTCAAAGCTGACAGTAAATCCAGCTTGAATACAACTAACATTTTTAGCATTCCTTAGCAGCTCTCTCCAGACATAGTATACCAAGCATTAGAGGTAACTTAGCAGGACCCTGAAAACATCAAAAACGATTTTTATTTCCTTGAGTTCCACTTTAAATAACTACATTTTTTTTAATACAGAAATAAAATACATTTTAGCTCAGTATTTGCTGATTGTAAAAAGTGATTGATCCTGATTTCTACCCTTCACACTTTTTCTTGTAATGTATGGGGCTGTAATCTCCTTTCATACTAGTCTATTAACTTACTGCCGTCCTTCAGCTTTGTAATGCCTACTGAAGAACAAGTAGTGGATGCTAAAACTGGGCGTATTCGTCGCAAAGCAGTATTTCAAGATGACAAGGATGGGGAACCTGGAGAAGAGGACGACGAGGATGAGGATGAGGACGACGAGGATGAGGATGAAGATGACGAAGCTGATGTTGGGGAGGAGGTAGAGGAAGATGATGGTGAAGAGGATGATGAAACATCAGAGGAGGATGAGAGATTTGAAGAGCAGCAGCCCACCCCAAGGGCTGTTAAACGCATAAAACTGGAGGATAAAAAGCAATCTTCCTCATTTGAGATGCCTGCCTTTGCCGACAGCGATGATGACCTGGAGGACAGCGACGAAGAGAAAAATGGCATGGAAGAAGATGGAGAAGAGGAGGATGATGAGGAATCAGACAGTGACGAGGAAGTACAGGGGAAGAAAAAGATCAGTTTTAAAAAACCAAAACACCCAGCAAACACCAATAGGAAAACGCCAGTATTGGACAGTGGGAACTGCACTGGGGAGGATGGTATGTCATCTGAATCTGATATAATAGAAGACATAGAGGGTGAAGACTCAGAAGAGGAGGGAGAAGAGCTAGAGGGGACTTCTGGGGAGGAGGAGGAGAATGATGATGAAGAGAACCTACTAAAAGATGACGATTCCTTTACTGAAGATCACAGCACTTCTGAAGACACAGTTGGTGAGTTGCACTAGTCTGTGTATAAATCCAGTTTTCATTGCAAATTACTTTATCATCTAGAACTGATAATTGTTATGCACAGAGCCTGGGGAAATAATTCACTCTCTGGCTTTTTATATCTTTGCATTCAAGCTCTCCGTGCTTTTATAGTCTCTGAATTTTTCACCTACTTTAGAGTGCTTAGTGCTCCATGTCTCTCCACTTTTTATAAATTATAAAACTTATTCATTCAAAATCCTACAGGAAATGAAAAATATGTATGTCTTGTGGAGTTAGGTCTTGGACCTTAGTCTTGTGGTGCGATCCTAGCAATATACTTTTGTTATGGTATTTCAACTGTCTTCCTGGTATAATGTTGAATTCAATTTTTTTTAAATTCTTTATTTATAAAACAAGATTTTTCAGTATAAACAAAACAAAAAAGATAATACAGAACAACATAGAGTACAAAAAATTATATTGTCAATCGAGATACATCAAGATGGGCGTTTCACAATAAATGAATCCGTGTAAGACCTGACTGCGACTATGAGACATAGAAGGCAGGCTCCAGGTACCCTGAGTAAGTCAGTCAAGTATCTCAGAAGTCATGGCATATACTTAAAAAAAGGGGGTAGATTAAAAAAAAAACACAAACCAAGAGAAAAAGTCAGTAGATATATCCAAAAATGGCTTAATTGGAAAACGGTAAGTTGGTAAGTTAGTTTGTCATTATTAATGATGGGCAGTCCAATATGAACCGGCCAAGGGATCTTCCAGCACCAGGGGGGGGATACCTCAAAGAAGAGAGAGAAAAAGAGGGGGGTGGGGAGAAGAGAGAGGGTGGCAGGTCCGAAGTACTCCATCCAGTAAAACCAAGTCTTGAAGTATTGCTCATGTCTATTTTGAGAGGACAAAATCAAGTCTTCCATTTCTCTGATCTCCTCCACCCCCCCGTATCCACGTGGTCACTGTAGGAGGGGAAGGGCTCTGCCAGAGGCTAGGAATACAAGCTTTAGCAGCATCCAGTAAATGGCGTATCACGGATCGTGAGTAAGTTTTCCTGGATATATGTGTGTTGTGTAACAGTTGCATTCCTTTTTAAAGCTTCCACTAACGTGGGGTTAATCATTGTGATCTACCTTGTTATGTATGTTAATGGCTTTCCTCTACGAGACATTGAATAAAGAATTACAAAAAAACCCCCACAGGAAGAGTGAGACCACCTGTAGTGGCCTCAGCAGATGTGGTAGCCTTGGGGACTCATGCACTCTAATCCCCAGAAAACTTAGTACTGAGACTTGCCTGATTTTTCTCTGATTACAAGTATTTTCCTTCACTCAGCCTTGGAAAGGAGACACTGCAGATGGATGGGCTTATCTCTATTACTTTGCTCTTTCCTCCTATCAGCATATCCCTAGTTAGCATATGAAGGCAGCAGAACAATTAGGTGGCACCTTCTGCCGTTGCTTCCTTTCAAAGTCTAAGCTCTGATGTACATTGAACTGCAAGAGTCTGATACCAAATCAAATTCCGGTACTTGCACTACTTGCATATAAAATGAAACATTGTAATGATTTAATAATGAATACAGAGTTGTATTAAAGAAGATCTCTGGGAACACAATTTCTAAAACCTTGTGGTGGGGCTGATCCCCTGCACTGCAAGGGTTAAGTGCTCATTTTAGTCTAAGTGCAAAAATAAAAAAGTTATACTCGCATGCTTCTTGGAGCTAGTCAACTGTTACATCGTTCCCTCCAGCATCTCTCCACCTCCACTTAAGCTGCCTAAGGTCCTGTGAGTCATCATGTCAGATACACTGTGTATTGGATGTGAGGATGCTGAGGGACATTCCATCATTGGAGCGGAGGAGACTGGCTAGAGGGAGAGTTCTAACAGCCGGCTCTGAGGTTTGGGTGAGTATAAATTTTTTTTATTTTTGCATCTAGATGAAATTGAGCATTTAACGCTTGCAGTGCAGGGGTAGCACCACTGCAGGGGTTAAGGATTTCACCCCGGAATTCTTCTTTATTTTGTATCATGTATGTCTGCCTGAAGTTCACTCCATTATCTACCGAAAACTATCATGTGTTTTGAGTGGATTGACCCATCAACTAGCTTCTTCCATGAGGCCATAAACCATTCACTGCTATTATTATATTTTCAAGGTTCACTAATTCAGAACTGTTTGCAGGTGGTTTAAAGTGGAAAGAAGACCTGAAGAAGAAGGCGGCGGAAGTTTTTCTTCGGCATCAACAGTCTGTGCCTAATCTCCGAAAACATGTTTATGGAACAGGTACGTTAGCTGGTACAGGCAGATGGGAAATCAGATCTCTCTACTCTGCCAGACAGGACTTCATCTTTAAAATCAAACAAAACAAGTCTGTGCTTTCCTATCTATATTTTTGTAGAGCTTAGGGCTTGTGTTATGATAGAATCAGCCAAGTAACATAAATAAAAAAAACATATAGCAAAATCTGCAGTGTGTGAACCATCATACTGCCCTATATATATTCGAACATAGATCTGTTATGAATTATTAAAATGCAAAAAAACTAAACACGCACGACGGTGTGTTTACATTTTTCCATAAGTAAACAGTGTTTTTATTTGGTTCCTGTCAAATTTAGTGGCTGAAGAAGAGGAGGTTAATGATAAGGGAGAAGAACTGGGTGGCCTGTTCCATGTGAGTCGTCCAGAGAAGGAATCTAAAAGAGCAGCTAATGCCCTGGACTGTTCCAAATTTGTGGTGGAGAGCCCTCAGGACTGGGATGCTGAAGAGGTACGTATATGGACAAATATTAGAGTCATTTATACCTATTATTAACAAAAGAGCATACTATAAAAAAAAAAAAGAACACTTTGCTAACACCTCCAATGATCAACTCCCACAATCCACCCTTGATCCCCCACATGAGATTTTTATTTTTTTAGTACTGTGAGCTAGGCCATCTCTGCCCTCTCCCTTCCCTTTGATTTTATCAGTCCTTGTATCTTACAGCATCAAAGAAAATGACCAAGCTGGTGCAGATTGGCTCCAGGCCAGGAAGAAAATAATGATTCAATTTGGATAAACGCCCCACAACCCTACACCTACTTTTTTGGGGCATTAGTTTCACAGGAACTTGGTGCTCCTCATTACCTGGCTGGAGCAGTGAGAGGGGGACCACATTATATGATGACCCTCCTAAATCACTTGCCTAATTGTGAAGGGCACATGAGATAGTAATAATATAGCCATGGGCCTGCTCATAGCCTTTTTGGGGCCCCTTTGTTATGATGGTCTGATATTAATAATGGGTCCATGCGTTGGCAATGGCAGCATAGAAGTTAGGGTACAAGGAAAAGCTTTGTTTCTTCCCAGGATCTAGGGATTACAAAGAAATTGATTTGATTGGTAACATTGGTACATTTATTCAATATAAGTAGAGTTATTATTTTAGGCATGGCTTGGGGGACGTGACAGGTTTACTTTTATCACAACAAAGACAGACAGAGTTGGGTATTTATTTTCCTGTGTCTTTTAAGGTCATGGACTGCATCCGGGATTGTTTTGTAACTGGCAAATGGGAAGCGGATAAAGATGCAGAAAAATTGTTGGAGGAAGATGGTAAGTGCTGCCCACTAGGGTAAGGATAACGCCTTTTAAGGGGCTACATTTTTCTGATCAGTGCTGCTCGTATTGCAGAGAGACCTTCTTAAAAACATTTTAGCCATGTTTGTTGTATTGTACTAAATACATATTGGTTTGCTGCCGATAAGGATGTTTACTGTTTGAAATAATTAGTATGACAGTTTGATTAACACCCTCTATTCCTCATTGTCCTATTTCCGCCTCCTAAGAACTCTCAAGCAACCCATAAACCTGTAATTGCACTCAGATCTGTGTGCGAGATTGGATCATGTTGAGGTCGTAGAATGGGCCATAATGCAATATTTTGCTTGTTAGAGATCTGCCAAAGCTACTTGTTCCCTCTTTTGTGACTGTAGTTCAATCCATCTGAAAGTTGTGAATGCCATGTCATCTATTGGTGCCCTGAGCTAAAGCATCAGCTTTTTATGTTCAAGTTCAGTACAGGCAGTCCCCGAGTTACGGACGTCCGACTTACGGACAATCCGTACTTATGAACGGGGTCCACCATTCTCCTAAATGTACCGGCAGGAGAACTGTGGCTGCAGCAGCCTGTGTCCTTTCAAATCCCCGCTGCTCTCCATGCCTGTGAGGCAGCGGGGACACGGACCGCTGCATACCGCCAGTGCCCCACTTACCTCCGCTTATGTGCACGTACCTCCGGAAAGCCGTATTACATCACTTCCGCATTCACCTGTCAGTCATCTGGCTGCTATAGCCAGAGAGATGAAGCGGATCTGTGCATCAGCTTCTTTTGGGGTCCCCAGGTGACATTGGGGGTCTTAGGGATCCCTAATGTCTCCATGAAGAGGACCTGTCAGTGTGCCTTTGCTATTATATAGGGGGATTGTTATCCCCCTATGTAATAGCAATAACAAGTGTAAAAAAAACATAAAAAGAGTAAAAAAAAATAACCCCACCCCAATTTTTAAGTCCCCCACCCCCACATTTACACACATATACACGTAAATACGCGTTCGCATGCGAAAATGACAATTGCAATCATTTTAGGGCCATCAATCACTAAACACTAAACTGATGAGCGGTTAAAGCTTTTAAAGCGCCGCCTATGGCCAATTTTGGGTATTGTAGTTTTTTTAGGTTTCCCGCGTACAATTTGAAGGCTTGCCATGTTTGGTGTCTTTTTATCCGACGTGACCCCGTCTTTGATATTTTACCAAAAAATTGGGTAGTAAATGTTTTTTAGCATTTAATATAGGGGAAACAGTTTAAAAAAGAAATAAAACATTTGGTACTTTTCCCTTTTAATATAGTAAAAAATATAACCTCCAGGGGTGAATAAAAACCACCAAAAAAAAGCCTCTCTCCTGTCCCCAAAAAATGGTATAAAATGTATTTCAGTACAGCGTTGCATGATGGAATAAACGTCAAGCAAAGTACTGCAGTGCTGAACAATGAAAAATGGCCTGGATGGGAAGAGGGTTTAACTCTTGAAGACTTGAAGTGGTTAAATAATTTTTTTTTAAAATTATTATATTATAATCTTCTGAACAACAGGAACAGACAGCAAAAAAACAGTGACCCTTCCCTCTGGTATCCAAAACTAAAAAATGTTTTTTTGGCTGGAGTTGCACTTAAAAAATTTACCTGTTCCGACTTGCATACAAATTCAACTACAGAGTACAAACCTAAAGTCCCTATCTTGTATGTAAACCGGGGACCGCCTGTATATCGAATAAATGGTTATAAGAGTGACTCCCCTGTCATCCACAAATTGACAGGCATCTAGAATATAGGAATAAAGGTAAAGTGGTGTGCTCAAATCCCCAGTACTCGTCAGGAATAGGGTAGTAGTTTGGCTTGCCAGTATGTCTTATCAGCCAGTTAGTTATCTGCTTGTTATCCCTGTATAATCTGACCTGTGAAAAGGCAACACATTTGCCTTTTTTTTCTGAGTAAAGCAGTAATGGCGATGTCTTCAATAAAGAATAAAGGGTTTTGGGGGTAATCTATCCGTTTTCTGTTCACAGAAGAACTCTATGGTGATTTTGAAGATTTAGAGACAGGAAAGGTGCACAAGGGCAAACCTGAGTCCCAAGTGGAAGAGGTAAGAAATATAACATCTGAAGCCAATCCCCTTTTCTTCTACAACATATGTAGTTTTAAATTTAATTTTCACGAGAGAGAGAGATGTTAAGATTGAATAAAGACACAGGTCGATCAAGTTCAACCTTTTTGGTGTTTGTGTTACTTAGATTACTTGTACCACTGTATAGTTTGCACGATGAGAAAAGTATCTAGATGGTTCTTGAATGATTCCATACTCTCTGCTGATACCACTGTCTGTGGAAGGGAGTTCTACAATTTTACAGCTCTCACAGTAAAGAATCCCCTTCGCTGTTTAAGATTAAACCTTTTCTCTTCCAGTTTTCATGTGCTAGCATCTTGTATTCTTATCCCATCACCATTAAACAATTTCCCCTTTTAAATGTGAACAAGTTTAATGCTTACAGTCTTTCCTAATAGTTTAGGTCCCCCAGCCCCTTTTATTAGCTTTGTTGCCCTTCTCTGGACTCTCTCCAGCTCATACATACACTATATTACCAAAAGTATTCGGACACCCCTCCAAATCATTGGATTCAGGTGTTCCGTGAAATTTCCTTGCTACTAAATAATTCACAGTCAACTGTTAGTGGTTATATAACAACGTGGGAGCAACTGGGAACAACAGCAACTCAGCCACGAAGTGAAGCGCACAGTGCACAGAAGTCGCCAACTGTCTGCAGAGTCAATAGCTACAGACCTCCAAAGTTTGTGTGGCCTTCAGATTGGTACAACAGAGAGCTTTATGGAATGGGTTTCCATGTCCGAGCAGCTGCATCCAAGTCTTACATCACCAAGTGCAATGCAAAGCGTCGGATGCAGTGGTGTAAAGCACGCCGCCACTGGACTCTAGACAAGTCGAGACGTGTTCTCTGGAGTGAATAATCACGCTTCTCTGTCTGGCAATCCGATAGACGTGTCTGGGTTTGGCGGTTGCCAGGAGAACGGTACTTGCCTGACTGCATTGTGCCAAGTGTAAAGTTTTGGTGGAGGGGGGATTATGGTGTGGGGTTGTTTTTCAGTGGTTGGGCTTGGCCACTTCGTTCCAGTGAAGGGAACTCTTAAGACATCAGCATACCAAGACATTTTGGACAATTTCATGCCCCCAACTTTGTGGGAACAGTTTGTTCCAACATGACTGCGCACCAGTGCACAAAGCAAGGACCATAAAGAGATGGATGAGCGAGTTTGGGGTGGAGGAACTTGACTGGCCTGCACATAGTCCTAACCTCAACCCGATAGAACACCTTTGGGATGAATTAGAGCGGAGACTGTGAGCAAGGCCTTCTCGTCCAGCATCAGTACCTGACCTCCCAAATGTGCTTCTGGAAGAATGGTCAACATTCCCATAGACGCACTCCTAAACCTTGTGGACAGCCTTCACAGAAGAGTTGAAGCTGTTATAGCTGCAAGGGGTGGGCCAACTCAATGTTGAACCCTACGGACTAAGACTAGAATGCCACTTAAGTTCATGTGCTTGTAATGGCAGGCGTCCCAATACTTTTGGCAATATAGTTTGTGTGTGTGTCAGTGCACCACAACCCATCTCAACGCAACATTATGGGAGAACAGGGCACATTGAAAGCAATTGTTTTCTATGTGCCCTGGAATTGAGCCTGCATAGATCGACACAGTTCAGCTGATGGGGTGTGAACGGGCCTTTAGGGAGAGAAAGGATTCTGCTCGTTTTTTTTTGGAAAATCCATAGTGCTCTGGGATTCCTGTGTCTTGGGTACAGATATTTGTTTTCAAAACAAATATTGTGAGTGTATAGGCATGTAGGTTTGTCTAAATCAAAGGGCCAAGTGCCAGTTACAACTGCATTACCGTTACCCAGGGTCTCCCTTGCCTGTTAAGGCAGTAAAGAATTTAATGATTACCACAACACACAGGCCCGTACCTATTTAGTCAGTAATTCATCATTTTACATTTTTACCATATAAATTATATATTGTTTCAGCGTTAATAAGCTGTGGAACCACTTGGCTCATTGAGTATACATTTGTTAAAGCCAAACTGTACGCTATACTTTAATGCCCCACATTCCAGGTAGCATAGACATACTTTTAGTTTGCTCACCTACCACTTTTTAGCTGCTGGGAGTGTGGAAATACAGCCATGTAAAAACTCCAAGTCCTTGTAGTTGGAACTTACACAGGGCTAAGCACCAGTGCTGTCAGGGATGTCAACGATTCACCCCACAACCGCTCTGTGGAAAATTTTTTTTTAGTTTATTAAACAGCACATGATGCACTTTTCCAAAAAGCTCTTGTAGAGCTGTATCCTGTACCACTTAATAAACTGAGAAAAAAATTGTCGGCGTTTCGGCAAATCTTTCATATTCGTGGCATTTTTCTGCCGGCAGCAAGAACCAGACCAGCACCCAGCCATAGTGAATAGAGGTGAGCTGAAATCCACCTGGATCGATTTGTTTGATATTCAACAGCACTGTCACATGAAGAAGGGCTGGGAGTGACACAATCCTTTATAACCAGAAGTACTGGGAATCTCCTGCTGAAAGCACTCACAATAGAGCTTGGGAAGTGGAGTATATGTTGCCAGGCTGGGGGCATTAAAGTAAACTTGTTTATTTGCCTTGCATTGTTTCAAAATGGTAAGAGGCATGTAGGTGAAAATGAGGACCGTATACCCCCCCTGCCCTAGTGCTGTATTATTCTTGTATTACACAGAGTGAAGGTGAAAATGAAGGAGACGATGAAGCAGGGGACAAGGCCGTCCCTGCAGTGGAAGAAGAGAAGAAGCACCGTCTGGAGAAGAAACGTAAGCTAAAGGAGCGGTTCGACTTGGAGTACGATGATGTTGATGCTGAGGCTACATACTTTGATGACCTGAAGGGCGAGATGCAGAAGCAGGCAGAGGTCAGCACAATACTACATAAGTTGATTTGAAACTTTTTTTGATGTTTCAGTGCTTTTAAGTATAAATATTTTGTTTCCTTAATTTAAATGTTTACTTGAATTATTCCATTTTGTAAAGCGCTGCACAAACTGTTGGCGCTATATAAATCCTGTGTAATAATAATTTTACCTGTAATTGAGGATGTGAGCATTCAGTTTATTCATTTATCTTGGTATTGCTCATTTTCTCTTCCTAAACTTTAGTTGCCTTCTGCCTCTTACTCTTCTCTATACACCCCCAGCTCAACCGCGCAGAGTTCGAAGACCAGGATGATGAAATCCGTGTGCAGTATGAAGGCTTTCGACCTGGCATGTACCTCCGCATAGAAATTGAACATATGCCCTGTGAATTTGTAGTGAACTTTGACCCTCATTATCCAATGATTTTAGGGGGATTGGGAAACAGTGAAGGAAATGTTGGCTATATCCAGGTAAAGCAATTTACATTCAACAGTGTGTGTGTGTGTGTCTAATCTCATCTCTATCCTGTACTTGCACAGTCAAATAGTATCATTACAAGGTTTAAAAAAAAGAAACACTCACAAGTATGATATTATTTGCTCTGTTAGAGAGAGAATTCCATCCTTATCCTCAAAGGCATTTGCATACGTAATCTGTCTTTTATCACTGTGCCAAATTAAAAGGTCTCTAAAAAATAAGTGTAAGTGTAAGAATATTCAACATAAAGTATAGTCTTGTCTGTATGATAAAATAATTTGTAACTATTTACAGTGCTGCTTGTAATTATATGTACAGATGAGGCTGAAAAAGCACCGATGGCACAAAAGAATTCTAAAGACAAGAGATCCCTTGATCTTTTCCCTGGGCTGGAGGCGATTCCAGACAGCCCCTCTTTATTACATCGAGGATCACAATGGACGCCATCGGCTTCTCAAGTATACGCCAGAACACATGCACTGTGGAGCCGCTATATGGGGTGAGTACTGGACCCAGTCAACATGTTGGATAGAAGTGAAGCTTTAAAGAGATTTTCCTTTTTAGCATTTGCTTTTACGTTCAGTGCTTAACCAGTTGACATCCGCGTTGTTAAACCCCCTTCCCATCCAGGCCATTTTTCAGTATTCAGCGCTGCGGTACTTTGAATGACATTTATTCCGTCATGCAGCGCTGTACTGAAATGAATTTTATACCCTTTTTTAGGGACAGATAGAGCTTTCTTTTGGTGGTATTTATTCACCACTGGGGGTTTTTATTTTTTTACTATATTAAGGAAAATTACC